AACAATTCTGATGTCCATCTGGACTTTCGACACTGAACGCTCAGATCGTGGATCAGGAAGATGCGAATCAGAACAACGGTCAGACCGTGGATCAAGAAGATGTCAAAAGAAAAAATTATCATATGAATAACAAGGATTGCAACGTGAGAAAATCATCATCGGATGAATTGACTTAGAATGATCATGCAAGCAATACAAAATCAAGAATTCCATAACCAGAAGAAGAAATAAGAGCTAAGAAATAAGAGCTACAAGTTCAGCAGTACTAGTTACAAAATTAGACATATATCAAGACAGACAAACACTGTCTAAGAATCAAGGCCAAACAAAAGAGGAAAAACAACTTACCCTTGACAACCCTAAATACACCCCCCCTCTCTCCGAACCTCACCTCCTCGCTTCATCGGCTTCTCAAGCAACTCGGCCGCCTGTGATTGACAACCATTCAACCAACCAATAAGACCGAACGATGATGATAATAGGACCGCAGCTAGGATTGTCGTCGCAGCATACCAAACCACGTCGCGAGAATAAGCCACTGAGCCCGCCAGCTGCCCCTCGCAGGTAGCCCGAAGAGATGAGGGGGAGTCCACGTTGCGAATACCATCCTCCCCCTTCTTCCTAGTAGCCCTCTCCCTCCAACCCGTGAAACCCTTCCCTCCCCTATTCTCCCACCCACAATATTCCTCCTCTCCACTAAGACCTTGATGTGAGATGCTCTGCCCAACGACGCCCAGACACACTCTCTCCCATCACCTCCTCACGTGAATCTCGCCATCGCAGTGCTGCCGCCGCTCCTCATTCCTGCTCATCCGCAAGGCCCGCCGTCGCGTCCGCCCGCCTCCTCCTCGCGTCGATCCTGCCGTTGCAGCGCTCCGCCGCTCCTCGTTCCTGCTCTCTCCGCGAGGCCCGCCGTCGGGTCCAAACGTCGGGCGGCGGAGCTCTCCCGGTAGCGCTCCGCCGCTCTCAAGATCGAACAAATAGATTCAGTAAATTTGCTGATTTTATTCCACTCCCTGCAGAGGCGAAGACTGACTTGGTTATCAGGGAGTTCTTCAATCATTTGGTTAAGGACTATGGACATCCCTTGACTATTGTGAGCGACAAGGACACACAATTTACAAGCGAGCATGGGCAACAACTAATGAATATCTATGGCCCTAAAATGACTATGTCGTCGGGCAGGCATCTTGAGACTAACAGTCAGACCGAGCCGGTGAACAAACTGGTCCAGCAGGTACCACACATGTATATTAGACGTGATCAGATTGACTGGGATGAGCATCCTCCCAAGGTGGCCAATGCGTATGATAATTATGTGCACCTAGCTACAGCAAAGACTCCTAATGAGCTGCATAGGAGATGGAGTCCACAGGGCCTATAGACTCTCTGAACCCTGACCAAGTCCAAAGATTGCCGCAAGGAACAAGAGAATTTGTTGTACAATATGAGAAAGACTTACAACGAGTTAGGGAGAATATAGTACGAACCAACACCAAATGATTGAGCAAGCAAATAAGCATCGCAGACCTTCGCAATTGCTGTAGGTGATTTAGTTTGGGTCAAGTCGAATGAATTTCTCCCTGAGGAAAATATATCGCAGAAATTATTACCTACATATAGTTGACCGTGGCAGATTCTTGATGTTATTGGTGATGTAGATGGTCCTTCCTATGTCGCTGAGATACCACCGCATCTACGTACCTATCCAGTTTTCCATGCCTCTCAGTTGCTTCCCTGTGTGACTAGTGTTGCATACTAGTGAATACTTCACCAAGTATGGGCAGAACCAAAGATCAACCAATATAGGATGAGCATGTATGCAGCGGAAGTCTGAGAAATGGACTGACTCACATAGACTGAACTCATCCAGATATCACTCAACACACAAGCAATCGTGAGATGGTGGGGTCTCAAACCGAAGCACAGACGATGCTCAGGTCCCGTACAACCATACACAGATGAAAGGTGGGAGGAGAGACGATGGAGGTGGGAGGTGTAGACAGCGCGCCAGATGTCACCGAGATAGAATCCAGTAGGTCACCGATATGGTAGTCCAAAATGTCATCGAACAAGATCAGAATGTCGTGGACAACAAGTCACCAATGTCGGAGGTACAAAGTCCTAATGTAACCGGTGTCCAATCTGAGATGCTGCCGAGTATCAATCCCAACTATCTCCAAGGTCTCGAATCCAGTAAGTATCACAGCCTCTTACCACCGAAGTCCCAAACACTGATCTCTGTCCCACTCGTATCCAAGTCTCCAATCTGAAGAAGAAGAAGAAGAAGAAGAAGAAGTCCGAAGGAGAAGAAGAAGAAGAAGAGGGAGTTCGAGGGAGAAGAAGAAGAAGAAGAGGGAGAAGAAGGAGAAACAAAGATGGAGAGGAGAGGTAGAGATGGGGGGAGCTGGTGAGGGGCCTCAGGCCGAACCTGCAGATAGCAAGCTGGCGTCTTGGCGGCGGTGGGAGTCCTACTGCAGGTCGCGGGAGCTATGGCGCTCCACTTTCTCAGGTAAGTCCTCCTCGCTCCTCCTCACTCCTCCTTGACTGCAGTGCGCTAAACTAGCGCTGCAGTTCCTAGCGCTGTGCTGAACCGAAATAGCGCAGCGCTCCTCTGGCTGCTCCCCGTTCCAACCTACCAAGAATGACCGCTGGACCGGCCTAAGTACCGTCCGGCGGTCGGTCGGCCTCGATGCTGGCCTCCTGCGCCGTGGGCTGAACCGGCGAAATGACCATTCAGCCCAGGCCGGCTGGCGGCAGCCTCAAGAGCGCTGCCAGGCCCAAACGGTCATGTCGTTTGGGCCAGACCTGGTCTGCTAGGCGTTGAGGCGCCAACCGGTGGCCTAACAGAGCCTACCGGAGGGAAAAGGCCTGGCTTTTGGCGAGGCCGGCCTGGGTACCCCCTGAACCGGTATGTCGGGCCTGTGAAGGCCCGTGTGGAATCGTAGAATGTAACACACTCCCCCCCTTAAAAGACCGAGCTACCTGTGAGGGCGAAGTTGTTTGTTCGATACCTGGGTGGGTCGGGTGGGACGAGCTTTGTCCTTGGCGAGTCGCCGGTTCTCGTAGTCGGAGAAGATGAGTGGTGCAGATGCTTGTAAGTCTGCACGGGAGATCCAGCGAGTGTCATCCGAGGCACATTGCTTGAATGTGACTTCGTATTGCATTGGCTTGTTGACAAACTTGCGGTGCCTGATGACACGGTCGACTTCCTGGTGTCCGTCCATAGAGGGTGGATCTTGTGATCGTCGGCCCGGACTCATCCTCGGAAGGTGGCGTGTAGACGGCCAGCTTCGACTCATGGAAGACCGGGTGCACACGGAGGTGTGGTGGGATGGCAATCACGAAGGAAGGACCTGCAGGGTCGTTGCCTGCTGCAGAAACTACCTTCCATGGTCCAAACCATTTCGGGAGAAGTTTGCGTGAGACGTCGTGCTCCAGCGAGAATTCCTCAGCGAGGACCCCAACAAGGTCTCCCTCGCGGAAAGGGCATGGGAGTCGACGTCGGTTAGCTTGCTGCTGCATGCAAATTTGAGCCTTTTGCATGTTCGTGCGGGCTTCGATCAGCAAGTTCCGGTACTTCCGAACGGAAGCGGGAAAGCAAGCGACGTCTATGTCGGCGGCCCGTGGTAGAAGAAGATCGGCGAAGACTCCGGCTTTCTCTCCACCGTGATGCAACTCAAATGGAGTGATGCAGATCGCCGGGTGCACCGAAGTGTTATAGGCAAACTCGATGTCGGGAAGCCGGTCAACCCAATCTTTCTGGTCGGGACGGATGAGTGTACATAATATCATTTCAGCGGTCTGATTCGCTCGTTCCGACTGCCCATCTGTCTGCGGGTGCCGTGCGGAACTCGGCTTCATAGTTGAACCGGACTCCGTTATGAGGGAAGTCCAAAAGGCTGACATGAAGCGAGTGTCTCTGTCGCTCACAATGTCTTCCGGTACACCGTGGCAAGTAATCCAGCCAGTGTGCAAGAGTCGTGCGAGCTCGGGGGCTGTAGCACGATACTTGCATGGAAGAAAACGAGCGTACTTGCTCAAACGGTCAACGACCATGAGGATGCCGTCATGACCGAGGCGATCGCGGGGGAACGGGCCTGTAACATCCATAGCAATGGAGAGGCGAGGTGCCCGAGGAATCCGCTCGTGGTTACACCGAATTCGGAAAAAAAATTGGCGAACTCCGAAAGCTACTCCGAATAGGGTTTTATAATCCTTTTGAGTTTTTTTTTTTTAGTTTGTTTTTGTCTGTTTCGTTTTTTGATGTTTGTATTATGAGCCTGCATAGTTTGTTCGCAAAATTTTCCACGACATTGCTTGTAGTGATGCGGCGAAAAACCCCGAACTTTGGGCCTTCCATTAACCGAGTGTCGAGGAATCGACATCAGTTTCAATTCGCCATAAGGGACCTGAGATCTACCTTTGTTACGATGGCAAACTGCGCATGACTCAATATACTTCGTGACGCCGTGAAGAACGTCTGGCCAGTGAAAACGCTGGCGGAGGCGGGCCAATGTGCGGGTCACGCCAAGGTGTGCCGAAAGTCGTGCGTCATGGAATTCGCCGAGAACACGAGTCCGTAAGATGCGATCTTGGGGCACCACTAACAAGTCCTTTCCTCTTGTGTGGAGGAGTAAAAACCCGTCGGAGATACGATAATGACGAGCCGGCGGGTGATCCGATGAAAGCTCTGCATAAAGCGTAGAGTAAGTTGCATCGGACTTGTAGCCTTTGACGAAATGCTGCTGCAGATCGTCGTCGAGTTGGAACGTCGTAGTTACGAGGGCACAAAGATCGGGCCGTCGTGAGAGGGCGTCCGCTGCTCGATTGGCGGGACCATGAATGTGGCATGACTCAAAGTCGAACTGGTCGATGTCGTACATCCATTGACCGATCGTGCTAGTGACCGTGTCTTGCGTTTTGTAGAAGGTCAACGGATTGTTGTCCGTGTTCCATCTAAAACACTGACGACCGTGAAGAAAGTGGCGCCACCGTTTGAGAACGGTGACGAACGTCAGTAGCTCTTTCTTCCTAGCGTCGTCGAGAGTGTTGATGGGAGGCACCTTTTGGGAGAAGTACTTGACCGGGTGCCAACCATTTTTTTGTGTGGCATTGTTCCAACACCGCACCAATATCGTACCCGGAAGCATCCGTAGTCACTTGGGTGGGTAGGGTGGGGTCATAGATACGGAGGGCCAGTGCGTCTTGGATCGCCGCCTTCAACGTATTAAACGCGCCACGAGCTGCGTCGTCGAACTCAAATGGTACCTTAGGGGACTGAAGTCTCGACAAAGGAGCTGCCACTTTGGAGTAAGACTCGATGAAGCGCTGATAGTATCCAGCCAAACCCATGAAAGAGCGTACGCCCGTCGTGCAACGGGGTTCCGGCCAATCCACGATGGCTTGGATCTTGTCTGCTAAGGGACGAATTCCCTTCGGCGTCACATAATGGCCTAAGTACTCAAACTCTTGTTTGGCGAATTCGCACTTGTCGCGGTTTGCTTTGTACTTGGCTGCTCGCAAACGATCCAACACCACACGAAGGTGTACGAGGTGCTCGTCAAGCGTCCTACTATAGACCAAGATATCGTCGAGGTAGATGAGGACAGTACGATCGAAGTCTCGGAACTCCGTTGTCATGGCTGCTTGGAAGGTTGTCGGGGCATTGGTGAGTCCAAATGGCATCACGACCCACTCAAAATGCCCATACCACGTTTTGAAGGCGGTCTTGTACCGGCCTTGAGGCTGGATTTCAATCTGGTGGTAACCCGACTTCAAGTCCAGCTTCGAGAAGTACGTCGCGCCGCCCAACCACTCGAGGAGATCATCAATCATGGGGAGAGGGCCGGCGTTCTTTACGGTTGTGCGTTAAGTTTTCTATAATCGATGCACAGTTGTAGGTCCTTGTTCTTCTTCCGGACGAAGAGAACCGGTGCACCGTATGGTGAACAACTAGGGCAAATCCAGCCTTTGTCGAGAAGGTCATCGAGTTGTGCGAGAAGCACCTCGAGTTCCTCTTCGCTCATGCGGTAAATGCATCCACGCGGAGGGACGACACCCGCCTCGAGAGTACTCCCATGACGTATGGGCCGATCCGGAACCGTTCCAGTGGGAGCCTCGAAGATGTCTCCATATCTGACTAAGAGGTGAGTAATACGTGGGTCTGGCGGCGACGCGGCTGATCCGTCCGGCGAGGGGAGGGCATGTACGAAAACAAGGCCCATCTCCTCGACGTCATTACGAGCTATGGCGTCGCGAATCCTTGCAACGGAAACCACGTGACAAGCAATCGAAGTGTGAGGGGTTGTGACCGTACATGGGACGAACACTCCGTTCCGATCACGCATGTGAACGGTTCGGTCATGAAAGTTGACCGAATGATCGGTGCTACACAACCAAGACATGCCTAGAATCATGTCAAACTTGGTGCCGAGGATGTCGAAAGACACCGGCTCGCACGCAAGGGGTGCAAAGTATACTGGGACGCTGTCAACTCATCGGTCGATCGACTTTTGTGTGCGACCATCCGTGAGTGTAACTTGCGTAGGGTGCGTCTTCCTTCGAACGCGCGGGACATAAAGGCTTGGCTCATGAAATTGCGAGATGCTTCGCAATCGATCAAGGAACTGCAGGTTGCCTTTCCGATTTGAATGCGGATATAGAGCAAAGGCGCGTCGGTCTCGGCGTACCTTTGGGTGGCGTACTCGCAGTCAATCTTCGCAAGATAGGAGCGGAGATCGACAACTGCTACTCCGTTGTCTGTCAACGGATCTGGTACTGCAGCGTGCAAGTAGGAGCGTAGATTTGCCATCAAGGCTTTACAATGCGGCCTTGGCAAGGTTCCGGTCGAGGGTAGAGGCATCCAAGTGAAGTCCTCTCTCGTGAGCAGGTCAAGCTCCTCAAGTCTTGAACACGCCGTCGAGTCCTCGAAAATCAGTGGCGAACTGACCGGTTCACTTGCCGACGGTGTACAAGCTACGCATACGCTATCTAAGTGTACGTGGCTAGGCTGGTCCAATGGTGGTACCAGCTGGGCGGCATAATCCTCGTATGCATCACGAGAATCAGCGACTAACAAATGCTCCCCGGTAGTGATATTGGTTGTTAGCAAGGCAACCGGTTCCGACGGAGTGAGGAGAGGCATCGCCCCTCTCCTTACGTAACTCAGTTTCCCGAGTTAGTTGGACGGGGTACGCGTGCCTTGCCCTTTTCCGAGCATTGTGTGGTAGTGTGGTTTACACTATTGCACCAAAGGCAATATCCATATCGTTGACGAAGGTCAAATACTTCCTTGGTGATGTTGTATGCCATCCATGGTTGCTGCCCAGTTCTCGTGGATGTCGTCGCTTGTGTCGCCTTGTTCTTCCGAACTCTCTTGGGACGCTTCGGCGGGAGCGCTGCGACAACTCCTCCATCACTCGAGGATGCTGCTGCAATGTGGAGATCGATTGATTCGTCAGGAATCACTGCATTGTTATGCGCCGGCCGTTGGTAGCCTTGCTTAGCCACATATTGCGGTTGGGACTGCCGTTCGTTGGCGGCCTTGTCATTAGTTCGGATGACCAGGTTCGCACGATCCAGAATGGCCTGGAACGAGGCATAGTCGTACTCGTTGTCGAGTGCCGACCGCAGTCCTGCGCACGATCGCAAAAAGAATTCGGATCGTTGGTTTGGGAAACTCAAGTTGAAGCCCGGAGTGGTTACTATCTTCTGCCACTTGATCGTCCAGTCTCGAGTTGGCATGTTCCCTTGCGAGCTGGAGTAGACCTCGTTCATGGCCGCCTTTACGACGTTGCGGACCATGAATCGAGTGTTCCACATTTGCTCGAACTGCTTCCACGGAATGTGCGTGTGCAGTTGGGCGATGGTACATCCCAGATTGGCCACGGTGTGGTTCATCCATGCCTGTGCTCCTCCAATGAGTTGGAGGTAGAGCGCTTTCATCATATCCTCCGGCGGTACAGAGTGGCAGGATGCTTCGGTGAGGAAGGCTTGCCACCATGTCAAAGCGTCCGTCTTGTTGTAGTCGTCAAACTTGTTGATGTTGAAGCGTGGCATCTTGTATGCCTTCGTAGCGGCTTCCGGTCGTGACTGCAGTTTGGTGATGTCCGTCTTGATGGCGGCCACCGTGCTGCTGATCGTGGCCGGACTGGGGAAGTCACTTAGGTCGCCGATAATAGTGACGACATGGTCGATGCGCTCCCCGAGCTGCTTCGCGATGTCTGTCATGCAGCCTGGCGCTGCTGAGGCCTTAGCTTCGATGCTGTTGACGCGTGTGATCGTGGTGTTCAACAGCTGGTGCTGTTGTTGCTGCTGCGTTGCTGCGGTGCGGACGGCAGCTGTTAAGGCGGCAGTATCTTGCTGGTGGTCTTGTCTGAGCCGTCGGTCCGCGAGCAGGTGTACCTGCAGCATTGTGTTATTCCACATCACTGCCCTCATCATGCCCAGCATCAGGTTAGCCAGGTTACTCCTTTCTGCCTTCGCCGGTGTCGGGTCCGCGTGCTCGTCCGTAGGCACAAAGATCATGCCTTGGAGGAGTGCTGTCCACTGAATCTCATTCCGAATCAGGGACTCAGTGCTGGCGGCATTCCGCTTGTCTCGAGCCATTGTGTCAGCCTCAGCAGTCCGCTGAGCTTGGGCTGCCGCCTCTTGGGCAAGCCGCTGACGTTCTGCTTCTGCTGCCTCTTGCTGTGCTGTGGTGATGGCATCTGTGAATGCCTGTGCCCGCTGAAGGTAAGCTGCCAAAGTCTCGTGGTCCCCTTGGACCGGACAGGCGGGAAGGGTCCCGGCGGTGCCCAGTACTGCAGTTGCTGCATTGGTACTGGATGCCGCTGGAATCGTTCGCCTGCCGCGTCGTTGTTGATACTTCGGCCATGGAGGTAGCACAGAGTGGCTACGAACTGTGAGTCTGGCACTGCGTCGTGGCAGTACCCCGGTGCTCTGTTCCGTCGACATCAGCACAGGCTGATGCGGTACTTGAAGACCTCGGTGTCGCAGAGTACGGGGAGGGCAGGGAGGGTGGGAACAGGGGTAGAACAGATCAAGCAGTCCCCTGTCCCACTGTGGACTGGACTCCTAATCAAAAGAGAAAAGAAAAGCAATGATCTTTCCCCAAACAATTTAATTACGAAAATAATCAATAACTAATAAGAATGATGAATAATAATTAATTAAGAATCATTAATCAATAACATTTAATAATTATCAATAACGAATTTTAAATTGTCGGTCGATTAGGTGTCCTGTTGAGATCACCTATGGTCCGGGAGTTCACCATTGTTAGTGAACTGTCCGGAAGTTGTAAACGATTCCAAACAGTCTGCCAAACGAAAATTATTTCGGATAGTTAGGAAAAGAGAAAAACACTCGAATTTTTCGAAAAACGTGAAACTTCGGGAATTTCAACCTAACAAAGTCCGATTTTCAGAAGGGCGAAGCCCGTATTCGGAAATTCACAATTAGGGAGAAAAGAAAAAAAATTCGCGAAAATTTCGGATTCCAACCCTAATTTTCCGCGATTTTGCGGAATTTCTGGTTTTACGGTTCCAAAATGCGAATTTCCCCAAATGTATAAGAAAACCGAAATTTTATCGCAACCCTAATTCAATGCCGAAATAAAACAGAATACCGAATTTAAACAGAATACCGAATTAAAAAAAGAATTTTGCAACTTTAATCTCGATAGTAATGCAGAACTGATTTGGAAAAACGAGTAATGCTAATTGAGCAATCTATTCCCTAATCAGAATTACCTTGTGAGCAGATCCATTTAATTGGTCTGCTCCGATACCAAAACTGTTGCATACTAGTGAATACTTCACCAAGTATGGGCAGAACCAAAGATCAACCAATATAGGATGAGCATGTATGTGGCGGAAGTCTGAGAAATGGACTGACTCACATAGACTGAACTCATCCAGATATCACTCAACACACAAGCAATCGTGAGATGGTGGGGTCTGAAGCCAAGCACAGACAATGCTCAGGCCCCGTACAACCATACACAGATGAAAGGTGGGAGGAGAGACGATGGAGGTGGGAGGTGTAGACAGCGTCAGATGTCACCGAGATAGAATCCAGTAGGTCACGGATATGGTAGGCCAAAATGTCATCGAACAAGATCAGAATGTCGTGGACAACAAGTCACCAATGTCGGAGGTACAGAGTCCTAATGTAACCGGTGTCCAATCTGAGATGCTGCCGAGTATCAATCCCAACTATCTCCAAGGTCTCGAATCCGGTAAGTATCACAGCCTCTTACCACCGAAGTCCAAACACTGATCTCTGTCCCACTCGTATCCAAGTCTCCAATCTGAAGAAGAAGAAGAAGAAGAAGAAGAAGAAGAAGAAGTCCGAAGGAGAGGAAGAAGAAGAAGAGGGAGTCCGAAGGAGAAGAAGAAGAAGAAGAGGGAGAAGAAGGAGAAACAGAGATGGAGAGGAGAGGTAGAGATGGGGGAAGCTGGTGAGGGGCCTCAGGCCGAACCTGCAGATAGCAAGCTGGCGTCTTGGCGGCGGCAGGAGTCCTACTGCAGGTTGCGGGAGCTATGGCGCTCCACTGTCTCAGGTAAGTCCTCCTCGCTCCTCCTCGCTCCTCCTCGCTCCTCCTCGCTCCTCCTCGCTCCTCCTCGCTCCTCTGCGCTAAACTAGCGCTGCAGTTCCTAGCGGTGTGCTGAACCAAAAAAGTGCAGCGCTCCTCTGGCTGCTCCCCGTTCCAACCTGCCGAGAATGGCCGCTGGACCGGCCTAAGTACTGTCCTGCGGTCGGTCGGCCTTGATACTGGCCTCCTGGGCCGTGGGCTGAAGCGGCGAAATGACCGTTCAGCCCAGACCGGTGGGCGGCAGCCTCAAGAGCGCCGCCAGGCCCAAACGGTGATGTCGTTTGGGCCAGACCTGGTCTGCTAGGCGCTGAAGCGCCAACCGGTCGCCTAACAGGGCCTACCGGGGGGAAAAGGCCTGGCTTTTGGCGAGGGCGGCCTGGGTACCCCCTGAACCGGTATGTCGGGCCTGTGAAGGCCCGTGTGGAATCGCAGAATGTAACACTAGTGACCACTTTCGATCACAAAGATCTATGATACCTCCAGACATGGACGGCAAGTATGCGTAGACTGCATAGTTGCAGAAGATGTCTACAGGTCGGGACGCAGAGTGAGGCCCCAGCGACAGTACAAAGTCAGATTTGCTTACCAAGAGCCTGCAGAAGATTGCTGGTTCACCAGAGATGAGCTAATAGAGACTGCCCCTCATATAGTTTCCTATTATGAGCGGGCAAGCAGAGGCGTCAATATAGTAAGATCGGTAAAGTTGGTAACTTCATCGGGGGACCTCAAAATCAGGCCGGCGAGAGTGAAAGGAATTTCACTTTGCAGACCCCAAATTCGAGTCTCAGTGTCAAGGTCCCCAAGTCGAAAAACAGGCCGAAGCGGCCGAAACAGAAAAAGTCAGTGTCGGGTACCCCACAGGCCACATAGGTCAAAATTCAACCGGTACCCGGCCTCAAAGTCAATTCCCACAGTCCGAATGCAGCAGCGCTCCAAGAAAAGTCTGAAGGTACCAGGCCTCAAAATTCCAAGAGCAAACACACCGCGGGCAACCTGCACCAGTCAAAGTCAGGCCCAGGCCAAGTGAAGTCAAGGCCTGGTCCAGTCAACATAAAAGGACTGGCCCAGCACCATTCAGGCAGATGGCTCACTCATGAGAAGGTGGAAGCGCTGTTGGCTGCTTGTGCACTATCGCGAGTTGACTGAGCGCCAGGAGCCCTGCTGGGCTGCGCTAAGCTGTGGAAGACAGGCGGCCATAGCTGCGGTAGTAGTACAGTAGAGCACAAGTAGGAAGGCGGATGTATCCAGGGAATCATCCTCATAGTAGAAGAGGTTGATAGTTCAAGCAAGAGAGAGAGAGAGAGAGAGAGAGAGAGAGAGAGAGAGAGAGAGAGAGAGAGAGAGAGAGAGAGAGAGAGAGAGAGAGAGAGAGAGAGA